ACACACACACACACACACACACACACACACACACACACACACACACAACCAACCAAACACTTAAATTAATAAATAGCGAGACTAAAGAATGGAAATAAATCTACCCGATTCATTGAAGTAGATCGCCGATTGAGTGGTGTAGCTCAACGCAAAACAACCCCCATACTTCCGTTGGTAAATATTAGCACGGCTACCCGACATGAATAAAGTTGAAAAAAAAAATAGATAGAGGAAGCAACAAAAAGAACCAAACACAATATGTTTTTAAACAAATCGACGATGCAAACAAAGAACCAGCGCAAACGTTATCTGCTGCTAACCCAAACTCATCACGTGTATTCTTTTGAAATGTGTTAGACAATATAGTGCCGTCAGTTAACGCGAACAATGTGAAAATGTGAGTGTGTATGCATGCAGCTGATCAAAGAGGATTCGTATATGTTGTTGCCGTCACACATGCAACTATTTTTATGGAAACTGATGCTTATTTTTTTGGTTTGGTAATATTTATTAAACAACAAACACATCGCTTACAGATTTCATATCGTCTGCTAGACATCCAGTAAACATAACTAAATAAATATGCGTTTGTTAAGAAATGGCGTTCAATGACACCCGCCCATTCAATGGTTTCACCATTAGTTTGTGTGCGAGTATGTGTGTGTTCAAAATCTAGTTCGAGACGCTTCGTCTCATCGCAATCAATGAAAGTGTATACAATATTTTTTACAGTGGAAAGAGCATGGTTTTCACGCACAAAATGATGCGCTCGTATTTTCATCAAACTTCCGCAGTCGATGTACAATCAACTGTCGGAACACATGCATCCATTCGTGTTCAAAGTGAAAGATAAAAGATATATAAGTATGCATTGTGGCACTTGGTAATCAAAACAAAAATGTTTATGACATAAACTTGATGGCATCCTCTTAATAATAGTAAGTGGCTTATGTAAGCACATTTTCAACATTTAAAGCTACGTTCCGGCGTTGGCGAACGAATACATTGTCATTATATTCAATTCATTTGTTACGTGCTCATCAAATGTATGTTGAACTGCCGAAATAATCGAATTCGCAACATTTTGACAATCAAGGCCGTTGAGTTACACATATTGGCAATGAATTTATGCTTCCTAAACAATTGTCCAAGCATGAAATTGAATAATTTTTCAAAGTGACACTCAATAATTCAGTTTGTATACAATGTTTAAATACAATCATAATCACTTGAAAATGTTTGAAACAAAAGTATCTTATTCAATTATATTCATATTTTTATTTCTAAACATAAAATACAATGATCGCCAAAGGGTCGAAATTCTAATCTATTGAAAAATAATCAACAAAATACAAACTATAAAATATCATTGACAGTTTGTTTCTAAACATCTAACAAAACACTTAAACTTCCACACTTGTTTACTGCATGAAAAAAAAAAAAATCAAATGCAATTCTAGGTACGGTTTTTTTTACATAACATTTTAAACGTTACACAGCTCTTTCACACATCTCACATATCGTTAGCTGTGCTTTCAATTATTCATTATTGCAAAACTGTTTTTTTTACCGTTTTCGCGCTGTATGTTTTCAAATTTCTTGTCACATTAATAGATTTAATCGTTTCGTTTATTTCTTATTTTATTAAATCAATAAATTTTCGATGATTACATCGAAACCACGGTGTATGATAGAAAATATGCACACAACGACCGAAAAATGTGAGTTCCTTTTACTTTAGTTTTTCTTCATATTTTTTTTTTTCATGCGAGAATCTAGTAGTTACGGCAATAATTCAGGTCAGTAAAAAAAAAGGTACACAATCGTTATGAAAATCGTAGCGCTTATGCAAGAGAATGCACGCATTATACATACGCTAATAAAATATTAATGCAAATTAAGCGCATGAAATGCAGATGTTGTTCGTCAAAAATGAAATAAAGCATATGCACAAAAAAATCCAATCAAAAGTCGATCGAAACAATTCCCATGTGTTGTTGTTGCAGTGATATCGACTTGAATTCGTTGTTGAATCATGAATGCGTTTCAATGATTGAACTGAAAAACAAAAACACGACACGCTGCTTTCACGCCAAACAAAGGAAAAATAGAGCAATCGATTGTGTGTGTGTTTATTTTGCCTTTCACGAGGCCCGCTTTATGTCAACATATTCAATATAAAGGTTTTGTTTTATAACGCATCGAAAAATGGATGCAAAATCAGTTTTTTGTTATTAGAAATTCGAACAGAAATTTGTACATGTAATGAATGTAGCCATATGCTTTACTCGATGCGTATTGTTCACATGCTGGTTTGATATAAAAAAAAAACAATTCTTTTTTGTTCTGACCTTTTTTCACTTTTTACCATCTTTCTAACTAAATGAGAACGCATTTTTTTCAATTGATTGTATTTGAATCGATAATCATAGTTGGCACACAAAAAAAATATTTGCGAAAAATGACTTTGCACTAGTTCACCATTGAGTGGTTTGATTTTAAGTTGATTGCATGCAGTCGATGTTCGAGTGTGTATTTTCTCTCTCTCTCTCTCTCTCTCTCTCTCTCTCTCAACGCAATTCAACATTCATTTAGAATGACGGCATGAGCACGATATAAAGTGAATGCATTGAATTGATAACACAAAATTTTTTCGTGCTGAGATTCTTTTGCAATGACTCCTCGCCACGTTTCAATCATAACAAAATTCAAGGCAATCACTATGCCATTGCATTTGAAGTGTGTGTTTGTGTGTGTACGATCAAAAAAGCTAGGCGACCAATGCAAACAAACTAGAATGTAATATCAACACCCATGAAAATCCAATTTTGTTATATCATTTCTTTTTGAAAATTTCTGTTCATTCATTCAATGCACATATAAACCTGTTACGTTCACCTTATCGCAAAAAAAAAACATGTGTCTCTTCCCTTCTCTCTCTGTGTATGTGTGTGTGAAAAAGTCATCCAAAGAATTTCCTATCACCGTGCATAATCATAATCTAAGAGGAAGAAGCATGAAAGAAGGGAAAAAACTGTTCACAAGTATGTTTTTTTTTATTATTCTCAGAATTTCATATGCCATGTAATTGAATGCGCATGAGATTCATGCTATGTGTACGATATTGTATGCGGCATGTGTAATTGCTATATGGAAAGGTGCAAATATGATTCTTCAAATGCTCTACCGCGTTGATGCCAATGGCATCCATTGAAGTGAAAATCCAACCAAAGACAAAGCACACAGTGATGTTTCATTTCAAAGATTTCTTCTTTTTATTTTCCAATTTCAGCACGAAAAAAACCCACAAGAAATGCAACACCAGTTAAATAATTTTAATGAGAATCGTGAGGATGACCCTCACTTTAGACAAACGATGAAGAAAAAAACTCAATCGTACAGCAACAACACACTTGGACGTTTCGATTTGAACGTATCATTAGAAGCGAATGGTATTTATGAATATGCGATTTGATACCGT